TTGCTCGACGATTCTCCTGCGAGCCGCGGCCTTGCCAGGACATCGGCCATGAGCCTGGCCTTTGCTCTTTCTCACGCTGCAGTGAGGGTCGCAGGATCGTCAGACGACGAAGGGTTCGCGCTGAGAGCTGCTGAACTTGAGACGGTGATGGGGCGGGGGCTGCGCTTTGCTGCAGTCTGTGCCAAGGCTCAGATGGCATCTTTGTGGCTTGGGTGCCGATGCCGACAGCGATCCCAGGCCTGGCCCAGTGCCGGTGTCGAGTTGCCTTGCGCGAAGCATGCCAGCATGGGATAGTGTGCAGCGCTGTTTGTTTGTGCCGCAGCTTCCTTTGGCTTTTGAGGGTTTTAGGGCTTAAAGGGCCTTGGGGGTTTAGGGTTTAGGGTTTAGGGTTTAGGGTTTAGGGTAAAGGGCCTTAAGGAGTTCAAGGGGTCGGGGGCTTACTTGGAGGCTCATGGGTAGTTATAAGTGGAGTTATACGTCCCCTAATATAGGTTATAACTATACTTACCCTACTTATAACCCTACTTATAACTACCCATGAACCTCCAAGTAGGGGGCTCATTGCCCTTAGGCGAAGATGTTTGTAGCTTGCCCGGGCCCCAGCTGGCCCGCCGCGCCGCCATGTGGCCTGCCTGCGAGAGGCCGACAGTGCCGAGCAGGTAGGCTGAGGGTGCAAACGCGGGCTTGGAGCTGGGACGCGGTCTACAAGGTGGCGTCGCTGTGTGGAGTGGTGGGATTATTTATCAAAGACGATCTGTTGAGACGGTTGCCGCCAAGGAGGCTGCCCATGCGAATACTTAAGGGAGCCATCCGCTCTGCAGGACAGCAGATGTCGGACGAAGCCAAAAGCGTGCGTGTCGTGGAGCGACCAGAGAAGGCAATTATCAAGGCCTTCGTCGACAGCCCAGGTCCCTTTGCTCTGGCAAGCCCGTCCTTTCTCGTCGTGAGTGGAGCGCAAGGAACCGGAAAGACCACCATGCTTAAGAGCCTATTCGCGGAGTATCACAACGACGGCCGCTGGGTGCTGCCCGTGAGCCAAGAAATCGACCCGGGCGGCAAACTGGATCTCACGGATGTAGTGCAGCAGGCATTGCGAACACGGAACCTGCCGCAGTTCCTGCCAAGTTTCCAATTGATCCCAACCCTGCTGCGGACCCTGAGCGAGAAGTGCAGTCGCGAAAGTGGCGGCCCCCTCATCGTCTACCTGCAGTTGTCCACCAAAATCCGGGGCGCCCCTTTCACCGATGACCAGTGCGAAGCGTTAGCGACAGAGGTCGGAGCCTTCGGCCGAAAGCTGACGTACGACTACCCCCTGTGCAAGTTGGTTGTCGAGCTGTCCGTGTCCCTCATTGCCGACAAGATCCAGGAGCGGCTGGGTCAAAATCGGGCGTCCAGGGTGTTGCCTAGGTGCTGTAACAGCGGCTAGATGGCAGTCGGGAGCGCCGCGTAGTAGAGACCCTAGAGGACAAGTTCAACATGTCCGAGCTCGTCGTGGTGGACCCACTGCCTTTGAAGAGCGCCCTGGCTTTGTTGTGTGTTTTTTTGCTTTTGTTTTTTGGAGTTGCCGTCTGGGCGAGTGCAGGGACCTCGCTGCCCCAAGTCGTGCAATAAGCCCGTGCCGAGGCTTCGTGGAGTTGGCCCTGGAGAAACCGGAGATTGTCGAAAATCTCAAGATGGACGAGCTCAGCCGGCAGGAGATCCTCAAGTACTTCTACCTTCGCGCTGGCGGCAGCTTCCGCGAGATGCAGCTGCTCTTGAAAAACGCGGCCAAGGCCAACGCCTCGGA